ACACACAATATAATAGAGAGTATAATTTATATTTTATTAGTTTTAATCCCATAAATTATGGGTTTTATTTAAAATCTCATTAATATAAACAATTACAAATTTCAATTTTTTATTTTTAATTTAAAAAATATAGTAACTTACATTATTACATTAATGTCAGGGACCTCAATCAAAAACTAAAAACTAACAAAGTTTCAATCAAAGAATATTAATAATTAGGGACCGCATCCAAAATGTCCCTAATTATTAATTAATAGCATAAAATCCTTATATTCTGTAACATGCACCTTATTTTTTGTCAGCATACTTTGATAAATTAATTTTCTTTTTGGTGAATTAAAATAAAATAGCTCCCATCAAAAGTTGTGTCACTGATTCATTGCCCAATGGAAGTGCTCATTCGCATAAATAATTCTCGTGACAATAAGGTATTTAAAAATTAGATTCCGTATTAAAAAATTAGGAAATAAATCTTTGAGGTAAAATTTGTTATGCATTAAATTGAAATTGACTTTTTTGTTAAGCCTCCCTCAATATGCATTAAATTGAAATTGAATTTTTTGCCTCCCTCAAATTGAAATTGAATTTTTTGTTAAGTCTCCCTCAATAAGCATTAAATTGAAATTGAATTTTTTGTTAAAGTCTCCCTCAATAAGCATTAAATTGAAATTGAATTTTTTGTTAAGCCTCCCTCAATATGCATTAAATTGAAATTGAATTTTTTGCCTCCCTCAAATTGAAATTGAATTTTTTGTTAAGTCTCCCTCAATATGCAAGAGACTAAATTAGTCATTTAACCTCTGTTAACCCATTTAAGATAATGAGGTCACAGCTGCAGCCTGACCTCTCGTCACGAAGCTTCATTGGAGTGCCGTGCATGTAGCGGTGGGATTGTAGTGGAATTAATCGGAAAAGTAATGATATAGGCAGACTAAATTTGTAAACCAAATTTGCAAACTAAATGTTGTGTCACAAATAAGAAATCAGCACGTTAATCAACACTTAATAATTCAATCATCAACTTCTATGTTATTTAGTTTACAAAATTTTATTTACAAATTTAGTCTCCATAGCATTATCCTAACCGAAATGAGGCCGTCGTTGAGCTAAGATGAGCAGAAGAGGCGGGCGGTTATTCGACTCGTTTGTTGCATTTAGCCGGGAGGTGTGGACGAAGGACTTGGATTGTCTGCCCTCCAATTTTGATGCCCTCTCCGTGCCCTCCTGTTTTTGTAGTCACGGTTAAGCCACGTCAACATTTTATATTACTATTTCTTTTTGTTTTATTATTTTTATAAAAAAATAATATAAAATATTGACGTGGCTTAACCGTGACCACACAAAACAGAAGAGCACGAAAATGGCACCGAAATGGGAGGGCAGACAATCCAAGTCCGTGGACGAAGGTGCCATTTGGGGACATGTTTTGCACTTGTTTGGTGCACTTTAGTTGTAACCTTTCGTGTCATAAAAGGGCACTGTATAGTACATAGCATGCAGTCGTACCGAATTTATACTTTTGAAAGCTATTGTATATTTCTGTCAAGTCACGCAATATGTTTTTAATTAGTGTGACTTTCTAATGGACTTTATTGGTTTTAATTAAACGCCATGCAATTTCAAACACCTTTTCATTTATTCTGGGCCACTGTTTGATCACCTTTCAATTTTGAACCAATTTCCAGGCAACATCACCATAATCATTACCAAATTTGAAGATTTAACGTTTTACTAAACAACGTAAGCTAACCTTATATGTATCGTAAATACTTCATTTTCTCATAACGTTTCATAATATAATACAGTGAGTCAAATCAAGCGTTTTCATAACTTAATTTAACATCTCATGGTCCTATTTAGAACACGAAAACAAAAAAAGAGACTCCTAGTTTTGCCTATGCCGGATTTTTTTTATATTAAATTGTAAATATTTCACCAAATGGAACAATTTTAATTTTTTTTTAGCTGTAAACAAAAAAAAAACTTTAACGAAAAACTCTCGGTACTGTTCATTTTAACGAAAAACCATATTTTAATACTAAAAAATCAATTCTAATAAAACTCAAAGTTTTCAAACAAAAATAAACATCATGCTTACAAAACAGAGAAAAATAAAATTACGTAGAAAACCTGGAGTGAAGAGTCTTTAAACCGCAACCGCAGCTCACGGCGTTGAAAATAAGATTCCGTCGTCGCTTGTCCGAGACTGCAAGTACCCAACTGCCACCTGGGCCCCCACCATGCCCTAATCAAACCCTCTGGCTTTTTTCCACGAATTGTTTTCCATTTTCCGGCAATCTTCCTCGTAACTTCCATTTTTCCCTTTCGATTTCAGCTGTCCCTGTCTTTGACTGGTTAAACCAAGCAGGAGATGTGTCGCCAGCTCGGACGGGGCCCCGCCGGATCATCCCACACGTGTGCCATAGTTCATAGGATCATTGTACTGTGTGCTGTTCCTTCTCTGTGCGGGGATTGGTGACGTGAGGAAATGAGGCTACTCTATGGTTGGGAAATAGAGTGTTAATGATATTTCAACCATCGTTTGTGGACTCGTCTGAAAGTGATTTTAAAATGATTAAAATCGTTTTTAGTGAAAATATTTTAAAAATCAATACTTGTTAAACATCCAAGTGAATCATAAAAAAAAAATATTTTAAGTACTTCCTGTAATAAGGTACTTCTTCCAAAAATATTTCAAGTGCTTTTGGGACCCAAAATCAATTTCATCAAAAGCATTTTCAGTTAGTTTAAAGCACATCCAAATAAGACTTATATTTGGTACTATTTGTTGCGAGAATTGTCTTAGTTAGATGATTATATTGAATATCTTATAATGCATCGTTATTTTGTGCATAATAAGTATGAGTTATATAATTTTATGGGTTTAGCTGTGATTAAACAGTATAAATTTACTTTTCTTAGGCACCAATCCATTCCGTTTTCTTGAGCAAATGTACAAAATTGTATCAAAATTTTTTTCTTCTAGTAATTAATATGGAATAAAAACTACAAAAATAACATCTCTATGGGGGCTAAGCTGACTATTGTTTGATTATGGTGAGAGTCATCTCATGCTGAAAAAGAAAGCATTGTATTAGTTGTTTAAATAATTTCGAACCCTTCTCTGCCAATTAATTTTAGGCTGAATACTCTCATTTTAGTAGAGTTTTAAAACGAAATTTGCTATTTTGAGCTAATCACATGTACTGGTTTTTCCATTTTGCCAATGAACAACTATCAGCTGCGTACAAGACGATAAATGTCATTAGGCGATACTAATAGTTGATGCTCGACTGTTCTTTCATCACATCTTAGTATATACTTTTAACTAAGTCATTGATGTGACTCATAAACTTGCTCGTACTTTATATATTCTATTTAAGCATAAATTAGAGAATTTTTTTTCTTTCCATATTTTGTTGCCCACAGATCAATCAAGTGGTAGTGAAGTAGATGGAAAGAGGCAAAACCAATTGCCCAAAAGGTTTTTGTTTCATAGCACAAAAGGGGCACCTATATTTTCTTATGAAAATTAATGAAAATGCCTTAAAAACTTTGAGTTTTAATGATAAGGACAAAATAAAGGGTAAAGTGAATAGTACCAGGATTGACTTTTTAGTGTAAAAATGTGATTTTTCGTTAAAGTGAACAGTACCGGGTGCTTTTCGTTAAAGTTCTCTATTTTTCTTTCTCTCTCAAACGCACATGCGGAAACGCATTAACGCAGTGTCGTTTTGCATACACCATCGTCCACGTCTTTCCCACGCATCGGGTCCATCGGCTGCCACGCAGTTCCATCGTGTGTCCAGAAACACGCGTGGGCCCCCACCGTCCCTCTCATCGCCACGTGGTACCAACGTCTTTTGGGTATTATTGTCAACACAGACCCACCGCCACCGACGACCACCAACTTGCTGCTGAGAGCAACGACACGTCCAACGCCTTCGTGGTGGGACCCATCCACAACGTGGCCATGTCATCTCCTACTCGGACACAAGTGTCGTCACGCGCATCCCCGCGAAACTCCCACCGTACGTGTCCGCCTTGGATCCCCTGGCCCCCACTACTTCCCCACTCTTTTTTATTATAATATTAATTTAACGTTTATTTTATTAAAGCCGCCACCACAGCATATTGTTAGGACTCAATTGGCTGAAATTAAGAAAAATAATACATTTTAAAGTGGTTTAAGATCTCTAAGCTCTATTTACTTTAAAAGTCAACTTTTGTAATAGTGTTATTTGACGTTATGTATCAATGATATAATATAACGTTGTAATAATTATATATAAAAAGCTATATTCTTAACAATTCGTATCAAAACCTAATTACATTACTCAACTTAAACTCACATTGCAAAAATGCAATCTATAAGCTAAACTGATTAATATTGTATATCAAATTTATTATCGACTCGGTAAATAATGAAAGACGAGAGAAACAACTTTTAAGGAAGAAAACGACTAGCAAACTAATTTCTAGAAAACGACTGGCAAACTAATTTCTACACCCCTAATATTTTTCGCCTTACACGCGCATACGCATTTTTAGCCTTCAAATTAAAAGGATAAAAACCAAATTTAAAAACAAAACAACTAAAAGTGTGCAAAAAAAGAAATGAAAGAAACTCAATATTCAAGTAGAGTGAGTTTAGGGTTTAAGTCTTGAATTGGCTGAGTCGTTAAGGATCGTTCTCTTCGTTAGACCAAAGCTTAGGTTTGAGTCCCCGTTAGTAATTTTTCTTGTGTCCGTTTTGTAAAAATAAAAAAAATTAGGTATGACCCTATCCTCAAAGAGGCTCGTGGTATGCAGCCTTAAATGGGGTAGCTCCTCCTGCTGAACCTTTTGTTAAAAAAAAAATGTTAGGTATATTAGAAGCTTGATAAAATTATTAGAACCAATTAATCTAGAAGACTAGAAAGCTGCGCGTACACGCGCGAAACCCCGGTGGCTTTCGTGTCTTTTTCTTCGGGGAAAGGGCGTTGCCGGGTTGGATTGTGGAGCACGTTTCTCGTGGAAATCCGAAACTTTCTATAAATGTGGAAGCTCTAAAATTGAGGCCCTTCTTTCTTCTCTCTCTCCTCCTTCTCTCTCTCTCTCTCTCTCTCTCGTTCGCTCATTTGCCGTTTCGTCGATTCCGATTTTATACGTTTCTTTCTTTTTCGCCCCTTTTGTTCTAATTGGCCGTTTCCTTCGCGATTCTCCGCCATAATTTTTTCCCCTATTATTTTCGATTTCCTGCGCAGCCTGTTGCTTGCGGATTAAGGTGAATGTTTAAAGCCTCTCCCTTTTCTAAGTCTTCTGTTTGGCCGCCGAGAAAATAAGTCGGTTGTTTGAAGCGGCTGCTGCCGAAGAATGTTCCTTTCCTTTTCGTTTTCCCCTTTTGTTTTCCTCTGTTTTCCTGGCTGCCAAACAGAGCATTTCGGATTTTTCCATCCGCCTCACTGTTTTTTTTTTTTTAATTTTTTTTTAATTCGCTGCTGATTTTTCGATAGTTTGGTTTTGAAGGTTTCCTGAATCCGCCCCTGCATTTCGAAGACCGCTGGCGTTTCGGATCGAAGTTTCCTCAACCTGGTACGTCGTCGTTTCGTCTTCTTCTTTCTGTTTTGCACGTAATGCTATTCGAAAATTCGAATTTCTGAGTGTATTTTTTGTTGCCTGGTAAGAAAAATGTAAACTTTTTAGCACTATACAGGTGATTAATTAAGAAAGTTTTGATCTTTGCCACCAATGAGAATTGGGTTCTGTTATTAATTAAGATTTATGAATATTAAATTGATTTAATTATGGTTGTTTACTTTCCTAATTAATTTTTTTTTTCCAACCGCAAAAACTGATCATGTCAACATCGTCTCCCATTGGGCTGTTTTCGGCTGAGCTGATATGATACTGTTATTTTGTTTCCATCCTTTGATTTTTCACCCCAATTTGTTAAATTTATTTTCTTTGCTTCGATGCAAATGCTTGGTCAAATGTCGAAACCATGTCGCAGTCGCGTAGACTATTCAAAACCAAGATGGGAAAACTAAAAAGAGAAGAAAAGTCTTAATCATTGAAGTCATTTATGCAAAATCTTGACCATAGACTTCGAGTCTACTCTTGGGTTTGTCTCGGTCGTACTTTCGAGAATGGCCCAAGCGGCGAGTAGCTCACGTGGTTAAAAGTATTTACCGAATCGGGTTTTCAAATCCCCCTCCTCTCAAAAGTAGGAATGAGAAGTATATAGGCCTTTCCAACTTGTTTTCTTTTTTTAGGTGGTGTTGTTGGTTGTCACGCATTTTCTCACATCCAAATCTGTCGATTTCATATGTTTTTAAGATTCCGTGTTTGTGTGTAGGGCCTCTTTTTTGCGGTTGTGTGTGATTCATTTGATGTGTTTTTGTCGCCCGGTGTGTGGGACATAGGAGTTGTTAATGGTATGCAACTACCAGTCACATGTTTTCGGTTGAGCTGTATGTCCAAACATTTTCATATCTTCTCTTGCAGTATTCGTAGCCTGAGAATCTGTAATGTTTTTGTATTCCTCTGTGTTTCGTGTAGAATAATGTACGTTTTAGCACAGTCGATCGTGTACTGATTTAATTCTCAAAGTTCACACACCATATGGTTATTCTGCAGAGTTTAGAGGAATGTTGTATTTGTGTAAATTTGTATAAGTAGGTTGGCAATCCTTGAGGTTCTAGTTTTCCCCCTTTAGCTATGGGCTGTGTATTCTCTCCAGCGTGCTTCGATTTTGGAAGCTGAGAAATTGGACTGAACATGTTGCTACTACTTTTGAAGGAAATGGCATAATCAAGAGCTAACGGATAATTGTTCTATGCATATATATAATTTGACATGTCCTTGTGTTTCATGAAATTCGCGTAAAATATTGCGTGATATTGTGCTTCCGATATTCACAGCTCCCTCCTCTTAGGAATAGTCAGTAATCTCCGAAAAAGAGAAGGCTAATGGAATTTTCTTTTGTCTCACTCGTGTGTTTAACGGTTATTTAAGATGCACATATTTTTGTTCAATTCTAATGATTGTTCACTTGTTCATTAGATATAAGGAGCCATGTACTTGAGGGATTGATTGTTAACTAGCAGTTACAAGACACTGAAATGGTTGTTTTTCGTTGATTACAGGGTCATCTGAAGAAGTTGTAATAGATTTATACACTTGTTTATTGTGATAACGTTACTTCATACGACGTGCTACAAATCTGGATCCAATGGACCTGAAATCAAATCATGCTTCTCCTGTTCTTGCTGACCCTGCGCCCTTGAGCAAGTCAAGACTTGGTGGAGTCCATACCAGCCTGTTACCATATGCACCTCCAGGAGCAGCTTTCCCGGCAGGTTTATTCCTAACAATCCCTAGGTGGAAGACTGGATTACTTGATGATGTTCGCTCTAGCTCTTGGCTCGATGCCATGAAATCTTCATCGCCTCCTCACAGAAAGATAACGAAGGGTGTTAAAAATGAGTCCGGGGCGACAGATGCTGATATTGCTTACCACTCATGGATGGTAATAATAAATCCTTAATGTGTTTTTACCTCCAACAGGCTTTGAATCTAAGTTATTTATGCAGTACTTAACATCTTTCTGTCTAATTCTTGCAGGTCAAGTATCCATCAGCGCTTACATCTTTTGAGCAAATCTCTAATCATGCCAAAGGCAAGAGAATAGCACTGTTTCTTGATTATGACGGGACTCTTTCACCGATTGTGGATAACCCTGACTGTGCCTTTATGTCTGATGCCGTAAGAATATCTTGATACTTGTATCTTTTACATGCCAAACTTAAAATGCTCTGCTTGCTCATCAAAGATGTTTTAATCCTTTTAGATGCGTGCAGCCGTTAAAAAGGGTAGCAAAACATTTCCCAACAGCAATTATTAGTGGAAGAAGCCATGACAAGGTAATTGCTAGTCGGGGCCTTAAATATTAGCATGACATACTCTTCAGTAATCATCTGTTTGTTTAACCATATTTTCTCGTGCTTGCTGATTTTGATTGTTCCATATCCTAATCTATCAGGTATACGAATTTGTAAAACTAAATGAACTCTATTACGCCGGTAGTCATGGAATGGACATAATGGCCCCTGTTATACAATCTATAAACGATGACCAGAGAAACTGTTTTAAGTCAACTGACAAAAAGGTAATTGGCTACAAGCTCTCTCCTCGTGCGAAAAAAATACGTGTATGTATTGGGGTTTTGTTTCTAAACATCTTTTGGTTTCTGGTGAATTCAGGGTAAGGCGGTTAACTTGTTCCAGCCTGCAGCTGAATTTTTACCTATGATTAGAGAGGTTTGTAAATTTCTTATCTGCAATCGTGTTCATCAACAATAAATAAGATGTTCCTATCTATTCTGTTACGAATGACAATATAGTATTGTAGTGTTCTGATTTTTTATGCTCAACCAGGTATTTAAATTGCTTGTTGAAAGTACGAAAGACATCCAAGGAGCTAAAGTTGAGGACAATAAGTTCTGTGTCTCTGTACATTACCGCAACGTAGATGAGAAGGTAGTCTCTTGTTAGAGTAGTAAATTTGATTAACTACAAGTTTAAGATTATTTTTTTTTCCGGCAGAGGAAACTAAACTAGGAGAGGCTGGAAGGAGCCTCTCTTTTGTTATGCATTTAATTTTTCTTTTGCGTTTACTAATCACACACTATGTCTTCAGAGTTGGCCTGCAGTTGCGCAATGTGTCCATGAAATTCTTAAAGACTACCCACGTTTGCGCTTGACTCACGGGCGAAAGGTACTTTTGAAAGCCTAGATGCAAGCTGATCTACCGTAATGTGCTATCTTTTTGCTATGGTAAATTTTTATTCAAAATATTTTCGTTCTATGTTCTTTATTTGCAGGTTTTGGAGGTTCGACCTACAATAAACTGGGATAAAGGGAAGGCCGTAATGTTTTTACTTGAATCTCTCGGTGAGTATTTCTTCTTCTACTCATCTCTCTTGCTGCTTTTAAGCGATCTTCAAGAATTCATTAAATTCCATCTTATACTCTCCCTACAACGAAATTTTTATATCAGGGCTAAGTAATTGCGAAGATGTGCTCCCGATATATATTGGTGACGATCGGACAGATGAGGATGCATTCAAGGTATGATTCGAAATTTTCATCACCAAAGTTGTTTTGACTGTCTTCTATAAAACCGAGAGAATCGCTAACTTGATGGGGGACTGTAACAGGTCTTGAGGGAAGGAAACCGAGGCTATGGCATTCTGGTCTCGTCCGTGCCCAAGGACAGCAATGCATTCTACTCTCTAAGGGAACCCTTGGAGGTAATGGAGTTTCTCAAGTCACTGGTTTTATGGAGGAAGTCAAGTGCTCTATAAAAATTACTGCATAGATAATTACATAGAAGATATAATCTTCACATGCTGATACAACAACGAAAACCAGCAGGACGGCGTATTTTTTGGTTTCTCCAGATAAGTATACTTCAAGAGGTTTTGGGGGAGCAGGCTGGCATGGAAGAATGCTTCCCGGTCTGTGCTCGTCGCTTCTTGCCGGTTTTTTGGTCGTAAAAAGCTTTGTGCCTTAATTGTAAATGCGTTTGGTTAATTTATCTTCTGTTTTTACTAATTAAGGTGCCTTCATTCATTCTTTCTTTCTTTCTCAATGTATTGATTATTTCATTCCATTTTGTTCTTGGATTTTGGTTAATCAAGTATAATATCTTACTCCGGAGGTCTCTATAGATAATCGAATGATTACGCGAAATGTAAATGTTGTGTTGTATTTTTTTTCCTTTCTGATAATGCGATATATTAATCAACGCGGCCGGGAGATTTGAACTCGGAATTTAACGGGGCGGGCGCATAGCTTTAAGGAAACAGAAAAGAAAGTCATTAGAACTATCACATGCTGGAAACTGTTCAGTTCATCTAGGTATCGTTTGATATGTAGACGGGACGGAACGAAGAGGGAGTAAAGATGCGATCGGATGGAAACAAGGAGGAAGAAGGAGACGGAAATGTTATAATTTTGTGTTCCACGGATGTGAAACAAGTCGTTCCAGGGGGTGTCTCGTGGAATAGCACGTTCCACTCGTTTTAGGCGCACCAAACGTAGGACGGAACGTCTCGTCCTACTTCGTTCCGTCCCGTCTAGAACGCGCTGTTCCATGTGACAAGTTTTATGTGAATTTTTGTTCCGCCTCTTCCCTTGGAACGACTTGTTCCACCTCCGTAGAAAACAAATTTAGAACCTTTTAAGACAAAACTACCCCGAATATTTTCAATATTTACACCGTCTAAAACAAACTCTAATCCATTCTCTGCCGCTGCCTTTCTTTTCGCGTAGCCTTCCTCCTCATCCTTCATCGTCATCCTCATGTCTCTCGCCCTCCTTCCCCTCCGTTTCCTTCTCTCTTCCCTCTCTTCCCTCTCTTCCTCTCTCTCTGCAAGTTAGGGTTTTCTGATTTTTTTTTGTCCGATTCTGCAATTCTGGGTTCGGCTTCACCAGATCACGATTCTCGCCTCCGTAAGATCTCGATTGATCTCCCTTTTGCTTTAATTCGTACTAATTTTTGTTCTTGCTATAGTTTCTTGAATTTGGGGTTTCTATCATGGTGGCTGCCCTATTTATGGTATTCAAAATTCTTCTAATTTTTCTGGGTGTGGTTATTTTATAGTCAATTGTGTTTTCTAGTAATATCTTCATGAAATGATTTGGAATATAATGTCTGTGCAAGGTTTATTTTGAATTTTATTTTAATGTTTATGGACTGTTTGGTTGCTGAGAAATGGTAGGAAATGAAGAAAAACTAGATTATCGTGTTAAACTGTATATTCCAGTTTTTGGGTCTTTTACAATGGATGTTAAATAGTTTACTTGCGTGTTATACTGATGGCAAGTTGGGGACGAATGATGTTTATCTGAACGAGATTAACGGGTGGGTCAGCATGTATGAGGTTGGCAAGTTGGTGATGGTTTTGAATGCAGAGAAAGTGTTTGATGAAATAGCTAAGAGACAAGAAGAGGACGCTGCAGGAAACCTCTTCGATCGAATGACCCCTCTTTTTCATAACATGGTTGTATGCTGTCAATTTTGCTTAACTATAGGTGCATTCTGGATTGGATGGGATCCGGGAGGGGGATTGGCTAAAATTCTAGGGATGATGCTCTGTTCCAAGCACCAGGCGAACCATTGTGACAAGTACCCTCAATTTTTGATCCCACAGCTACACTTCATTAATCATGAATTGCATGTTACTTTTCTACTACAAGTGATGCAAAATGAGGAAGCTACTGCTACATGTGAAAGTGTTTTTGATATGTCTCGTGGTCGCAGGTCCTTTATTGTTGCCGGCAAGGCTGAGGAACTATTACTACCATCAAGGGATGATGAAAAATCGTGTACCAATATGTGTCACAACACGAGGGAGTGGCACCGCGATGTGATTAGGAAGATCAAATGGCTGAGTGAGAAGGGGATTTCTACATGATCGATACCGAAGGACAAGCAAACTATGAAGAATTTTTCTGATGGTAGGGATATAAGTTAGTTGGTTAGTAGCTTATGAGTGAAGCAAAGAATACTTGTATAAATAACAAACACATCTCTCGGTGTAATTCATTCATTGTTCAAGAAATACAATCTTTAGTCATTCACTTTCTCTCTCTAAATTCTCTGCCATTGTTTTTCGTTTTGCTTCTTCTGCGATCTCCAAAAGCTAATCATGGTATTGTTATATGTGTTCAAATATGAACAAGTTCAAAAAAAAAAAAAAAAAAGAAGTCTCGATCCGTCGCACGTATAAACATTGTACCAAACAACAGACAAAACATGGGTAAATTAGTCATTCAATCTTTTGGTTCTGTTCCGTCCAGCGTGTACCAAACGCAGAACGGAACAACTGTCCCGTTCCGTACTGTGCGTACCAAACATAACACGGAACCTTTGTTCCGTCCCGTCTTGTTCTGTCTTGTCCCGTCTCATTCCGTTCTGTCCCGTCTGCGTACCAAACGGTATCCTAAAGTTTCTAGCATGCCCCACAGTCCACCAAATTCAAATTAAAAGAATTATAGTCACAAAAATGTGACACAATTAATCATGAAGATTGCCAAACACTGGAATGAAAGCAAGTCCAGCACTTGGAAGTTGATGGAAGATTTAGACTTGAAACATTTTTTATGTTCTTTATTTTGCACCTAATTGAGTGGTTAGAGGAAGAAATCAAGTTTTGGTGACCGGAGGAGACCCCATCATCACCGTCTTTATGCTGTTCATTTGACGTCCATAAATTAGTAATGACCGTCCATCTTGATTTGTTTATTGTGTTTTCACGATATATCCACGAACACATATGGACGAAGTCATAAATATTTTTTAGTGGGAGCAACTTCGATTGATTAAATACATGGCTCAAAAGGGTGAGAAAATAAAAAAAATATAAAACATGAGAGGATATATATATATATATATATATGTGTGTGTGTGTAATTCATAGTTTAATTGAAGCATTTTTCATGGTAAAAAGAGTTGAGTGGGAGCAGATGTCCCTGATGAACATATGTGGGCTCCGTCCATGGGGACACAATATACTGATGTATTATGTAAATTCAATCATTCAATACACCCGTGAATAGGATGCAACGGGTAATTTTATTTATTTATTTATTTATATTATTTACCATGATGCAACTAGTAAGAAATAATAAAATAATAAAAGGCAGCTTTAATAAAACGGCACTGACTTTCTTTAAGGTAACAATAACTGGCAAAGCATGTTTAGCATGTTTGTAGACCATATACTAGTTTCTGCATGGGAACTAATACTTAGGTTTATCATAACTTTTGGAAACACAAGGTGGAATGTGGATCGGTTTCATCTTTAATTTGTTTCATATTTGCTGCTAGGTTTTCTTATACCAACCAAAATTAGATGAAAGCCAAGGGTCGGTTTCATCTTGACTCCACTTTTTGGGTTAATCCGACAAAAATACAAAACTAATTTTTTGGTTAAGACTTAGATCTATCCATGATCACTTCACTAAAGATACTTTGGACATGGTCGATTCAATAGGACATCTTTCACTCTCATATCAAGTGAGATCAACATGAGTTCATGCATAACCAAAATACATAGAATGTTATATTTTTTCGTCAAAAGTTTCAACAAATAACATGGTCGAAGATATCTACCTCAATTTTTATTGAATATTATTGAATATTCTTTAAACCCTAATAGCTGTAAAGCTGTGTTTAGCTAGGGTTTAGTGAGCTGTGTTATTCCCTCTTCTGTGTAAAGCTTGTTAATAAGCTGTAAAGCATGTGTTAGAGAATGTGGAGGTCATCATACTCTCATGCTTGCTTAGCTGACTTGCTTAGCTGCCATTGTCCCCTACTCTCCTCTCTCTTTCCCGATTATTCTTCTATTTATGCTTAATCTTGTAAACTGTTTGATACAATGAAATATACATTAAGGTTTTCTATATGGTATCAGAGCGGTGATCCCTCGTGGACCTGCATCTGTGTTCTTCCGAAATCCTACCAAATTCAAACCAGTTAAAGCCATTATGGCAACATCATCAGAGAAAGTTTCAAAAAACGAAACTATGGATACCAACCCAATTCAACGTTTGAGCTCAGTGCTCCTAAACGAATTCAACTATCTGCCTTGGTCACGAGCTATTTCTCTCGCTCTTGGAGGACGTGGAAAGCTCCAGTTCATTCAAAAGGATGATATCATGCCCGAAACAACTTCACAAGATTATGCAGCATGGGTGTCCCAAGATCAACTTATCATGTCTTGGCTGTTAAATTCTATGGAACCAAAGATGGCTGAGATTTTCAGTTATTCAGTATCATCTCACCACCTTTGGATTTCTGTACGAGACATGTATGGAGATCTAAACAATGCTGCGCGAGTCTTTCAGTTGAAGAAAGATCTTACAGAATTACAACAGGGAAATCTCTCTTTTGTTCAACATCTTGGCAACTTGAAGGCCAAATGGAATGAATTGGATCTCTACAGACCTCATACCACGGACACAACCATTCTTTTAAAGCGTGCTGAAGAAGACAAAGTGTTCCAGTTGCTTGCCAGCATCGGACCAGAATATGAAGACCTTAAAAGTCATCTCCTGATGACACCTGAACTTCCCACCTTCCAGATGGTCTGCAACGTTATTCAACGCGAAGAAATAAGGAAGAAGGTCATGAATGCAGTCGTTGTCGTTGGAGAATCAGATCTTAGGCCATCAGAAGCAAGAGCTTTCACCTCTTTCAGACCATACAAGGGAAAACGACCAGACTTAAAGTGTTCTCACTGTGTGAAAATAGGTCGTCCAGGCATTGGACACATAAAAGAAAAGTGCTGGATTCTTCATCCAGAACTTAAACCCAAGTTCAATGATGATGGAAGAGCACCAAGAAACCAAATGAAGCCTGCCTACACTCCTCAAGGAAACCTTGTTTGCGACAATGTCTCCAAAAATGTGATGAACTCTTCTTCTAGTCCCATTACTCTCATAAATGAATTTGCTAACTTCTTGCAACAGAAACAAGGGACAACAAATCATGAAAATCCTGCAGCCATGCTCGGCAAGTTTGCTGGCTTCCTCGAACAATCAAGCTCAGTGTCACAAAATGATGTGCCAGGTATTATTGCAACTATTTCCACTGCATTGGATCTTAGTAGTAGCCGTGGTTTTTGGATAGTCGACTCAGGAGCTTCTGATCACATGACTAACGATGCATCTTTACTAAATGATTTTCAAAACTTCTCCACTCCTTCTTTTGTCTCCGTAGCTAATGGCACCAAAGTTAGTATAGTAGGCATAGGAAAACTCAAAATCTTCTCAAATAAAAAGGAATCCCTTGTCATGCATGTCCCTTCCTTTCCTTTCAAGTTGATGTCAGTAGGAAGAATAACACAATTGCTAAATTGTCTTGCAATTTTTTCCACTCACTGTGTGATTTTCCAGGACCGAGTTTCGAAGGAAACGATTGGTAAAGGTTTCTTCCTCAATGGACTGTACTATGTCAAATTCTCTTCAAGTTTTCCAAAAGGTTTCTACGTAAACTCAAACACAGTAAACAAGGAGCAGCTGTGGCACATAAGATTAGCTCATCCTTCTTCCCATGTTATGTCTTTTATTTTTCCTAGTTTCTGTAAAGAGATTTCAGATTGTGAAGTTTGTCAAAAATCGAAGTCCACCAGGTTACCCTTTCCCCATTCTCTCTCTAGAGCTACCAAAGTTTTTGAAATTGTCCATTCCGACATTTGGGGACCTGCAACCTTAGAGTCTTTTGATGGCTACAGATTCTTTATATCTTTCATTGATGATTTCTCTAGAACTACCTTTGTGTATTTACTTAAATTCAAGCACGAAGCTTTCCAGTGTTTCAAAAATTTTCATAACTTAGTTCAAAATCATTTTAACTCTAATATTGGCATCTTAAGGTCTGATAATGGCTCTGAGTATACTTCCAAAATCATGACAACTTACTTAAGTGAGCATGGAATCTTGCAACAAACTAGTTGTGTAGGAACACCACAACAAAATGGCATTTCAGAAAGGAAGAACCGAGATTTGCTTGAGAAAACATGATCACTAATGTTACAAGCAAACCTTCCAAAGAAGTTCTGGTCTCAAGCTATACAAACCGCTGCATACATCATAAATCGACTTCCTAGCAGAATCTTGAAGTTTAAATCTCCTTGTCAAATTCTCAAGGGGAGAGATATTGACATAAGTCATCTCCGTGTGTTTGGATGTGTGTGCTATGTGCATATTCAAACTATTCACCGAGATAAACTTGATCCAAAGGCTATCAAGTGTGCATTCGTAGGCTACTCAACTTCCCAAAAGGGATACAAATGCTATGATTCTAAAACCAGAAAGGTGTTTGTATCCAGGGATGTACGGTTTGATGAGACACAATTATTCTTTCAGAAGCATGATGATGAACCTCAGGGGGAGCTCTCATATGAAGTGTTTCCCACTCCTCTCGTCCTTGATGATCCAAGACTGTCAACACCGCACAATGAAACAATTGAGATAGAGCCAGCTCATGAAAATATGGAAGCAAACAATGAAGAAGTCCTCCACGAAAGGAGAGAGCCCCTTGAACAACCTACTCTTCCAAGAAGGAATCCTTCTCGAAACAGACAACCTCCAGCCAGGCTTGATGATTTTGAAATCTACATGCCTAGACATCCTATTGGACAAATGGTTTACCATAGCAAGACCTCCCCATCTCATGCAGCATTTGTCACTAAGTTATCTCAACACTCGGAGCCTCGATCATTCGAAGAGGCAAACCAATCTCCTGTATGGAGATGTGCTATGCTTGAGGAACTGAAGGCACTCGAAGAAACTAAAACTTGGAGCATTGTTTCTCTGCCAAAAGATCAACGTGTGGTTGGGGCAAGATGGATTTACAAGACAAAATTTAACTCAGATGGAACCATCCAGCGGCACAAGGCAAGGTTAGTTGCAAGGGGCTTCACGCAAACCTACGGGGTAGATTACAAAGAAACCTTTGCCCCGGTGGCAAAGATGAACACAGTTAGAGTTCTTCTTTCGGTGGCTATCAATTCACAATGATCTCTACATCAAATGGATGTAAAAAACGCTTTTCTTCATGGAGAGTTGGAAGAAGAAGTGTACATGCGCCTACCACCTGGTCATGAACGAGAGAAGGAACAAGGAGTAGTATGCAAGCTTCACAAGGCCATTTACGGTCTCAAGCAATCTCCAAGGGCTTGGTACTCAAAACTAAGCTCTGTCCTTATGTCATCCGGTTTTAAACGAAGCAATGCAGATTCTTCAATGTTCACTAGGCTTGGCACACATGGAAGATTGGTGGTACTCGTTTATGTTGATGATCTCATTGTCACATGAGATAATCCAGAAGAAATCAATGCTCTCAAAGCCACCTTACATTCAACATTTTCAATCAAAGATCTCGGCAGACTTAGATACTTTCTCAGAATCGAAATGGATCAATCTCCAACGGGGTTGTTTCTAAATCAACAAAAGTACGTTCTCGATCTTTTAGAAGAAGCCAATATGATGCATTGCAAACTTGCTAAAACACCTCTACCAACAAATTTCAAGCATGAAACCTCAGGCATCCAGCTTGAAAATGCATCGGAGTATCAAAGGTTGGTAGGAAAACTTATCTATTTGACTATAACTCGACCTGACATTGCTTATGCTGTTAGCTTTGTCAGCCAGTTCATGCATTCTCCCACATCTCATCATCTGCAACTAGTTAAAAGGATCCTTCGGTACTTAAAAGGCTCACTGTCTACCGGGATTTTCATGCAAAACAACGGACACTTCACCATTGAAGGATACACAGACTCTGATTGGGCAGGCAACGTCCTTGATCGCAAGTCCACAACTGGTTACTGCACTCTTGTAGGTGGTAACCTCGTCACGTGGAAAAGCAAAAAGCAATCTGTTGTAGCTCGGTCCAGCGCAGAAGCTGAGTACCGTGCAATGGCATCTACTGCATGCGAACTAATTTGGCTAAAGAGTTTGCTACATGATCTTGACATCATCTCTTCCAAGCCAATTCTCCTCCACTGTGACAATCAAGCAGCGATGCATATTGCTGCCAACCCCGTCTTTCATGAACGAACAAAGCATATCGAGGTTGACTGTCATTTCGTCCGCAACCAAGTCCAGTCCAAGCTGTTACAAACTGCATTTGTTCGCTCCAGTGATCAACTAGCCGACGTGTTCACCAAGCCCCTACCTTCTTCTCAACTTGATCGTATTCTCTTCAAGCTTGGATCCAGAAAATCTCTCGATCCAGCTTGAGGGGGAGTATTGAATATTATTGAATATTCTTTAAACCCTAATAGCTGTAAAGCTGTGTTTAGCTAGGGTTTAGTGAGCTGTGTTATTCCCTCTTCTGTGTAAAGCTTGTTAATAAGCTGTAAAGCATGTGTTAGAGAATGTGGAGGTCATCATACTCTCATGCTTGCTTAGCTGACTTGCTTAGCTGCCATTGTTCCCTACTCTCCTCTCTCTTTCCCGATTATTCTTCTATTTATGCTTAATCTTGTAAACTGTTTGATACAATGAAATATACATTAAGGTTTTCTATAATTTTCCTCCCTCCCTAACAACTTATATAGGATTCGGTATAGTTTAATGCAATTTAGAAAGTGATTAGGTACTATATAATTGACAAAATCTTGACTCCACTTTTTAATGATAGGTGAAGAATCTTAGTAGCAAGTCGTAGGTTCATTTGAACCTACCATTCCTTCATTCCTCTTGCTGCTAATTTCAACAATTCTAGAAATCAAACCAACTAAGACTCTGAATGTTAGGTAATGCTAATCTTAATCATGTGAGATTTTAAAACCAAAAGTGGGTTGGTTTAAGTTAAAACATGTAGATCTATCCGATGTTAATTATACACTAGAGTGATGTGAGATTTGGAGCAAATTATTAGACAAATCCACATGTTCGCTCGTGTTTGATGGTGTTTCATGTTCCCTGTCGATCGATGTCGTTGTTTTCCATGCATATGCATGCACGTACCCAACGTTAATTGCATCCCTAATCAAATCACAAACATTAATATTTATTTAATTTTGTATCGATTTTCTTCACAGGTCTCGTATGTAAATTCAAAATTTTGAGCTCACGTCATTTCATCATCGTCATCAACAAGTATATATAGCTGCCCGGTTAATTACTTACTTCTTCTGAAAACATGTGAGAAAAAAATTATATGAATATTGTTGCTAAAATTATAAACTACGTATTTTCAATGTGATTAACTGCACTTTTCAAATACGATCACTTTATTAGTAAGTTTGCATCGTCAACATCCAACACCAACTTGGCTTTCAGTAATGACGAAGAAAAAACCTTCACTTATATTGTGGAGTCAAAAATAATCACAAGGCGACACGTGGATTTTTGGGTGAAGATGACAAATTTACCCTCGAAGCATACCAGGTCTCCTACACGCCAAAATCATCTATCAACCAAATCAGGAGTACCCAAAATAGGTAACAAGTTCAAATTTGTCTCATTCATCCTCATTCCATAACCTCCAAAAACCTCCCAAAACATTTCTTTCATTATGATAATTAGCCAATTAATATATTTATACCTAATTAATATATTAATTGCTAATTGAATCACCAAATAACACCCCAAAACACACTTAAAGGCCGGTCACACTCCATTCCCTATATATATGACCCAATATATATTAATTGCTACTGTTTATATTCAATTTTAAATAAAAAAATTAAAATAATTTTTTACAGCAATATATACGATTTGAGAATTCTTGAAATTCTCACAAAGAAATCCGACTAGAATCCTCGTTCATAACTTTTGGTCTGGCAATTACCGAGCTGTTCACCGTGTGATACTCTCTGGTAGGCACGTTTTGACGTGGACCCTTCGACAACGTTTTTTTAACTGTGGCAATCAAAGGTCTTTCTTATCATTCACATTCTTTTTTCTTTTTTTTAATTTACATTCATCACTTGTTTTTTTAATGTCCGTTTGATATCAATTTTATAAACATAAATTATTTTAGTCATTCACTATGCACAAGGATTTCCACTAAGCATTCATAATTGAATGGTTATAGCGCCAAACTCATAATAGGCGAATTCATAGGTTCAGTTCTTACTGGCACTCTAAATTCTATCAAAGTAAATGATTGTCAACAAGGGCATTCTAGTACGTTGTAGATTCTTGACACACAATATTCTTGTTAGGATATATTCAAAGATTAATAATTTTCACACTTTTTTCTTCTCATGCACACTTTGTTTACCTGTAGTTTTTAGTTTGAATAACTGCAAACACGAATCGAGAAACATAAGTTAATATGAGCGTGCATAAAAAGAAAAACAGCATGCAAAAATACTTCCCCGTTCAAACTAACGTGGCATTAAGACTTAAAACAGTTAATCTTAACTAACGTGTGGCATAAAGCTTTCTAAATTGACTTGAGACCATCCCAATTCCCACGTTGAAATTCTTGTAAAATGTTATACAAATAATCGCAATCTCCCCCACAAAAAGCAAAAGAAAACGTTTGAATTGCTTCTCTGTATGAAATACTGAAAATATACGCATATACACACATCGTTTGTAATCGTGTCAAATTGGAAGAGCAAGAATGGAACAAACATCAAGTTTTGCCCACACCATGTCATGTGCTCCATCTGCACGTCTCTTGGCAAAAGGATCTTCTCAATTTCTTGTCGACTTATTAAAAGGATCTGGCTTCTCTGCCCTCTCACTTTTCATACACTCTCATCCCCTCCTATTTTATACGGTTACGGTTAAATCACGTCAATATTTTATATTAATTTTTTTTATAGAGATAATAAGACAAAAAATAATAGTAATATAAAATGTTAACGTGGCTTAACCGTGACCATACAAATAGAAGGAGATGAAAGTGTATAGAAAGTAGGAAGGTAGAGAAGCCAGATCCTTATTAAAATATACGAAACCAAATTAGAGAGTTTCGAGTTTTAGACACCTCCACAATTCGAAGTTTTAAAATATTATTAAAATAATGTTTTGGTTTACGTACAATTTTCATCTTTGATTTTTCTTGTCCGTATCACTAAAGATTAAGGCATATCCGACTTGTATTTAGGATTCTGAAGGAACTATACATATTATGAGGTAAGTGATTTTTATACCGTATTCACTTTGTATGGAATCCCAACTAATTCGTGTACTTTCACATGCCCAACTAATTTATCGAGTCCACATCTGAGGGGCATTCAAATTTTAACTTTTCCAAACGCGAGATTTTTTTCGGCGTGTTAAGAAATACGTATCGATACATCAAGTATCATAATAAAAGTAATTAGAATTTTCTTTTTTTAAATATCCAATCACTTGTATCATAATATTTGTATATCGAACTGTGTTTCCGACACAATGAAAATTTTCAGCATCCAAAGAGGCAAAGGACAATGGGGTCTCTCTCTCCTCTCTCCATTTAAATTGGACAACCACCAATCTACGCTTTACACTCCAATCTCCATGCGGAGTCCTCACAATCTCTCCCGCTATATAAACCCCATTTAATTTACTTCTCCCCACATTCACTCATCTTTCTCTCAATTTCCACTGCAGAGAGAGACTACAGCAACATGGACTCCAACAACACTTCCTACACTCCCTTGCCGGGAGAAGACCCCTCCGCAGCCGTCCCTCCGCCGACTCATCGCAGACCCCTTAAGGTTTTTGCCGTCACATTCTCCTCGGTCATATTCCTCTTGTCATTGGTCACGTTAATAATCCACCAAGGACCGGGAGCGCCACCAAAGACAGTGCCAGAACAACCAGATCACGACCACCGCCACCAGCAGCCGGCAGCTTCAACTAGTCCAGAACCGAGGTCGTTCTCAGTGCCTAGGGGAAAACTAGAAGGCGTATCGGCCAAATCGAGTCCATATTTTTCAGAGGAAGCTTCGTATAACTGGACGAATGCTATGTTTTCTTGGCAACGAACTGCCTTCCATTTCCAACCAGAACACAATTGGATGAATGGTTGGTGCACTTACAGCTTTTATTTGTTATTTATTTAAATTTATTTTCGACTAATAGTAATGGTTAGGTGAGATTTGCTACTGGACTTTCTTCTTTTGAATTTCACTATTTAATTTTATGATTTTTAATTATATTGGACTAATCATGTTTGTTCTTATCTTCCAATCTTGTTCTTTTGGTGGTGGACTCTGGTTTCTTCTACTTCCAGATCCTGATGGTAAGTTCTTAAATCAAAACTTTCTCTGTTTTTTCTTTTTCTTTTATTTTTATGACATTTCCTTTTCTATTCCTAATCATGTGATTAATTCATATATATATATATATATATATATATATATATTTGCTTAGACCACAATTAACTATATGAAAAACTAATGAAAAATGTTTGAAAACTTTGAATTTTAACGATAAAGACAAATAAAGGGTAAAATGAATAGTACCAGTTTGACTTTTTAGTGTAAAAATGTGATTTTTCTTTAAAATGAACAGTACCGTAGACTTTTTGTTAAAACTCGCTTAACTATATTGTATTGTTAGTACTTTTTGTTTCCTACTTAATAGTTTATATGCGAATTGCATGGGATTGTCTGATTATGTATATAATTGTGTATATTGGGTTGACATTGTACTTTGGAGGCCTTCTTACATGATTAGATTAGTTGATCAGTACAGTGTATTTATTTTTTTATACTAAAGTTTAAATCTTTGTTTTTATAATTAGAATGATTTAGAGTGTACATTAACGTCATCTCAAATACATGCATATATAAGGTTAGGATTGGAAGATGGGAAGTGTTATTGACACATATCTTTTTACTTCTCACACATCTTTATTAATTTTGTTCATTAATTTTTCAATTCATTCAATTAGATAATAAAAATTTGAAAACAATGCCTTAAAGATAAAAATAAATGTGTAGATAATTCCGTCTTCGAAAATTTGGTCCCTAACTTTATCCTATGAGCCAACATTATATTATTTTTTAAGAATATCCCAGCAAAGCGCTATGCTTTGTGAGTTGTGGACCAGTCAATCAAGCTGGAAATTGGACGGGTCAGTTAGGGCCTACCCTACCAAGCTAATACCTAATCCCATCCAGCCACGTGACTCAGATTTAATGTAACCACATGTGGTTCATTTTAGGAAAGAGTAAACTGTCGATTTGCCCCCTGAATTATCACCCAACTTTCAATTTCCCCCCTGAACTTTTTAATTGGAAAATTAAGGACTTAAACTAATTTTTTTTGGCCAATTTCCCCCCTACAGTTAGTTTTTCATAGATTTCATCCAAATTAACGTTAACTCTTATCATGTGCAAACCATGTAACTCTCATTTGTGGACAAAAGTGTCATTTCACTAGACCTTTAGATACAAAAGCTATAGAATCACACATATTTGCATAGGTTTATATTTTAGAAATCTAAGGTTTTCAATTATTTTAAAGAATGAAGCGACCGAACTACCCACACATGTTGTGCATATGCTTCCATTTAACAAAAATTTGGATGGAATGAATGAAAAATTGACAGCAGGGGGCAAATCGGCCAAAAAAATTAGTTTAAGTCCTTAATTTTCCAATTAAAAAGTTCAGGGGGGAAATCGAAAGTTGGGTGATAGTTCAGGGGGCAAATCGGCAGTATACTCTTTTAGGAAATGAGAATCCTCTATAGATCTTCTCAAGATTCTTTTTACGAAGATTTCAGAAATTCTCTAATCGTATTCGTTCATCGTATATTGTGCGATTAGTTTTTGTTAGATATTATTTATGTTTAATTTTAAAGAGAATTTTTTTAAATAATTTATGATCATATGAAAGATTTCCAGAATCCTTTCCTTTTTTAGGTATTTGTTGAGGTAATTAGCAATGTGCCCATCTGCCGCCGTGGACGGTGGCAGATACCATGTACCCACCATTCAAACTTTTTTCGTTTTTTGGAACTCCATTCAAACTTATGGACGACCAAATTTAGTGTTTGTGGTGGGACCCCCGTGTTTCCCATGTCACATGGTGTTCGGGATTATTTTTTTCTTAAAAAATGGATAACTGTCTGGGTTATTCATCATTTTCGGAGATCTTAAAGATTTACAGAAATATCTTAGCTTTTCATAATCCTAAGTCTGACTTTCACACTAGGTTGGTGTTTGGGATTGATCTTATTCTAAATTGCTGATTTATTAATAATTTAATGAGTTAATTATCAAATGTTTTGTAGGTCCATTGTTTTACAAGGGATGGTATCACCTATTCTACCAGTACAATCCGGACTCAGCTGTGTGGGGAAACATCACATGGGGCCATGCAGTATCAACGGACATGATTCATTGGCTCTACCTCCCGCTCGCCATGGTCCCCGATCGATGGTACGATGCGAACGGGGTGTGGACCGGGTCCGCCACCATACTCCCTAATGGCGAAATCATGATTCTGTACACCGGAAGCACCAACGATTCCGTGCAAGTACAGAATCTCGCCTACCCCGCCAACCTATCGGATCCCCTCCTTCTTGATTGGATCAAGTACAAGGGTAATCCGGTTTTGACTCCGCCATCAGGAATCGGATCCACGGATTTTCGTGACCCCACAACCGCGTGGATCGGTCCCGATGGCAAATGGCGCATTACCATTGGATCAAAAATCAACACAACCGGCATTTCAATGGTGTACACCACAACCGATTTTATAAACTATGAGCTCCATGATGGGGTCTTGCATGAGGTCCCGGGTACGGGTATGTGGGAGTGCGTGGACTTTTACCCGGTTTCTATAAACGGGACCAAGGGTGTGGAAACGTCCGTAAACAACGACGGAGTTAAGCACGTGCTGAAGGCTAGTTTGGATGACACAAAATTGGATCACTACGCAATTGGGACTTACTTTATAGAGAATGAGACATGGGTGCCCGATGACCCGACTATCGACGTCGGTATCGGGTTGAGGTACGACTATGGAAGGTACTATGCATCAAAGACATTTTACGATCAAAATAAGGAGAGAAGGATCTTGTGGGGTTGGATTAATGAAACGGATACTGCAACTGATGATTTGGAGAAGGGCTGGTCCTCGCTTCAGGTACGTGATCATATGACTTTTTTCGAGTGACAATAATTGTTTGGTTATGACATGCGAGCGTATTTAATTTATGTGCTCGCATTTTGCAGACCATTCCAAGGACTGTGTTGTTCGATAGCAAAACTGGAACCAATTTGCTTCAATGGCCAGTGGAGGAGATTGAAGACTTGAGATTAAACAGTACCGAGTTTACTGATGTTTTGGTTGAAGCTGGAACAACTGTGCCACTTGATATTGGAACGGCTACACAAGTATGTCAAGCATTCGAAAATAGTCGCTTGAGGCTCCTTCGAGCAATCCTCGAGTGATTAAACTTCTAAATGTCGAAAAGTTGGCTAAACGTCTTTAACATGTTCGTATTATTTGTTTAAATTTTCCTGCTCACTAACGTTTTTCTTGCTTGAAAATGTGGACAGTTGGACATACTCGTCGACTTTGAAATTGAATTATTGGGTACAGAGGAGAGTGTGAATGGGAGTTCAGGGTGTGGCGATGGTGCTGCAGATAGGAGCACATTCGGACCCTTTGGCATTTTGGCTCTTGCAGATGAAACTCTTTCCGAGTTCACCCCAGTTTATTTCCGAGTTACCAACTCGACCGATGGGGACGTCACAACTTACTTCTGCGCCGATGAATTGAGGTTAACCTTGATCTTAATGAATGTTAATTAGTGCTGATCTCTAACTTTCAATATGTTAATGTAGCGGTCATCTTACATGGTTCTTGGTAATGCAGGTCCTCCAGGGCTCCTGAAGTCTTCAAACAAGTTTATGGAGGCGAAGTTCCTGTGTTGGATGGTGAAACATATTCTGCTAGAGTATTGGTGAGACTTTCTTTCCTTACCAAGTTATATTATCTTTTGTAGCATAAAACTTCAAAGCACACGCTATTTATGCGCACGTGTCAAATTGTGAATGACAGAAGGACCTCGAGAATGGCGATGAATCTAAATTGCTGGGTGTTGAATGTGCAGGTTGATCATTCGATCCTGGAAAGCTACGCGCAAGGGGGCAGGACGGTAATTTCATCGCGGGTTTACCCAACAGAAGCAATCTATGGAGCAGCAAGGCTGTTCTTGTTCAACAATGCAACAGGAATGAATGTCAAGGCTACCCTCAAGATCTGGCAGCTCAACTCAGCCTTCATTCATCCATTCCCATTAGACCAGGTTTAATCAGTGACATTACGTCAATTCTTGCAACACGAGCAAAAGCATCTCCTGCATCAGCAGCTGCCAGTCATCACTTGGCTGCCAAGGATTCACAAACTTTCTGGCAAGCAAAATGTCAAAAATGTGCATCGATGGTGGTGCTATTACTCTTTTCAGTTTGTAGCTAAGGCTTGACCTCGAGCGATATCTATCGATTTAGTTTCCAAGAAAACTAATTAATAGAGTAAAAATTTTGCCCATTGCTCTCTGCACTTTTTGTGTGCTGCGTATGATAGACATTTCTCCCTTGATACTCGCAAAACGGGAAGCCTTATTGGCTTTAGGTTGCCATTTTCTGCTCTCTACACTTTCTTTGCGCTATTAGCTCACTCAGCTAAAATCCATCTTTCTTCGATGTCCTACACGTTGTTATCCACGTGTATTGTTGTTATTTAAAAATTAAAAGTGCTAACTGCTAAGCAAAGAGTTTGTAACCCGAGTAGTTAATCGTGTTTGTTTTTTGGCATGAAGTATTATGTTGGATTCTTGATCTCAATATTATTTGTATAACAAAAATAAAAAGAGTGCTAGATGTCCACTACCATATGGTGTTCGTCATTTCAGGCTACATACCACTCAACATTTTTAACGAACCAACGGTTGAGATTGAACTAAATTTCTTTATTGCCATTTATGAGAGCAAAGCTCGTAATCACTTTCCTCAAGCAATTGGATCTAATGATTTGGGCCCTAAAAGCCCAATTGTCTGATTCATGTTGGATTGGGCTAGAAAATTTGGGGCTGCAAGTAAAAGTGAGAGCCCACATGGAATTGAGCCATTAGGGTTTTTTCTTCTTGAACAACATGTGATTTGGTCCTTACTTTAATTCAATTCCCCATGTAACATGACTGACTTGGTATTCGACCGTTAGGCCCTTTTTGTTTTTTTTTAATTTTTTTTTTAATTATATTTTTTAAAATTGTGAAGCACCATTTGACCGTTTATTTTCAGTTCTGAATCTTTTTGGCAGCATCAATGCATCCAATACCCATCCCAATAAAAAAAAAGATTTAAGCTTAATGGATCATGGCTAATCCTAATTATTTATTTATTTATTTTTCTAGGGTTTTGAATGGGTCATGAGCCAGCACACTGGCAAATTAAGAGATATTAAAATATGCTTAGCAAGTTAATTAAAAAACCAACTAACTGATTAAATTTCTCCACCAACCATGTGCAAGTTAGTTGCTTCCATTTCCTGCCAATGCTGTCAGGATATATACATATATATATATATATATATATATACACACACATTTTTAGATCACATTTTGTAAACTACATGATGTATCGGTTGAATAATACATAATGCAAAGGGAAATGTTTAATTCCACACTTTTTGCAGAAGGATAATGTGAAAATTCAATGTTTATCGTGGTTGTGAAGATAACCCACTAAAGCATTAATTATAGGATTGTATAATACATAAGTTTCCTCTTAGTTTGCAATTCTTCTTCGATGTATGTAGCACTAATAATTTTTCTGGAATAACATGAAAATGAATGAATGAGATTGAAAATAGTAGATTAATAATTGTAAAAATCAAATCCAACTGCTAAATCACCTGTTATGTTGAAGCCACGTCCCTTATTTTGTATGGATAAGGATTGTTCGCCCTCCACTTCCGGTACCCTCTCCGTGCCCTCCTGTTTTGTGTGGTCACGGTTAAGCCACGTCAACATTTTATATTTATTTTTTTTATAGATATAATAAGAAAAAAATAAATAGTAATTTAAAATATTGACGTGGTTTAACCGTGACTACACAAAACAGGAGGGCACGAAAAGGGTACCGGAAGTGGAGCGCAGACAACCCTTGTCCTATTTTGTATCATTCTTCTTGTGCCGCATACGTTGGGTGCACGTCTTTCATTGACAATAGTAAGATTCTCATTAATCGTGACTAAGATACCAATAAATAAAATATGGAAACACAACCACCTCACAGTCGCCATTTTCCCTCAATTCCCACAATTTGTTCACTTGAAAGTTGTGACTTGCCACTACCACTTTTGTCCACTCAATGCTAATATTTCACTTGAGATATTAAACTTCGACAATTGCTAAAATTTTACAATTTTACTTACAACGTCATAACAAAACCACGTCATCACAATAAGTTTAACCGCATTGATATATTGTCATTATCATATTTACGAGTGGACCTTCAATTTTTCTTCAACTAATTCATACAAATACCACTATTAAATGCTAGCCAGTTGGTCACAGTTAGCGATTATATACACTATTCCTTGTTCGGTTGGATACGATTCATTTCACTCGATAAATGAAGATTTGGACATCACTAAATGTATACTTACACAAGTCAAGATAATAAACTCATAAATATATATAATTGGTGATACGACAATTCATTTCGGACATTGGTTTTAAACAAAAAGAAATAAACAAATGTCATATATAAAGCACAAGGTTTGTTGGATGGTACAAGCCGGCCATGTAAATTTTGGATTCTATTGCATTGCACATGCTGCCACACAAACCTTAGCTCTCACGAAAACTCCCCAAACCTGTATTTCACCAAATCCATACATATAATGGTAAATATTTGGCCAATAAAATAACTATATTATTTAAAATTTACCAATAAAGTAATATTATCTAGGTGAGACAATAGTAAAGTGAAAAACAAGTTTAGGGTATGCAAATTAATGCTCCTTACTTAACATAATCATATTTTTAATCACCTTCCTGATTGACAAGTCAACTAATCTTTTTTTTTATGACAATGGAAAATCCGACATTTTTAAACAGTTTAGACGTAAATTTTACGGTATTTTTCTGTGCCTATACATACACATTTTGACGATTAAAAACTTCGGAATATTAATCCTTAATTTAGTTAGAAAATATAATTTCTTACTCACTAATTTTGTTTGCAACAGACAACGTGACATGGCAACAGATTATGCCACCTCAGCAAAGAATCCCAAAAATGCAGTTGCCCAATGCATATGTTTTTTATTTTCCATAAAACAAACTGTGGAATTAGTAAACGAATTTGGATCCTCTTCGAGGTAATTGGTCGGGATTCTCCTGATCAGTGTTAAATTTAACGGTTATAATTATTATAACTTTTAAAAGATCCTTATTTATAATCGTTGGATAAAAATTCAACAATCCACGTAAGAGGATTGACCAGTTATCTCGAAAAGAATCCAAATCCTTCGTAAACCGTGTAGCCTGCGTGTTCCAGAAAGACAATAATCACCCAGAAAAATAAAAAAAAGGGAAAATTATTTATAAAAAATAAAAAACACAGTCAGCATATTTGGGGTGGGGCCAGAAGTGGTTGCTTTTGCAGAGGATGAGAACGTTAGAAAATTTGGGCGAGCGGGAGGCGCCGAAACTTGTGCCTTTTGCGTTAGTGGGGCAGTTGTGCGAGAAACTACTATTCGCACCGGCAGCACCCGGTAAATCAGTCACCAATTATCTTTTTTGGCTTTTTAGCCGAAATGATTATGAGATTTGCAGAGCTCATTATTTTAGTTTCTGATATTTGAAATCAATAGAAGTGGTTTCTGAATTTGTCCACCATCAATCATTTTGGTCATTCTATGAAAAATTATATTAAACAAAGACCAAAATGACAAAAATGCAACCAATTTATTAAACAATGGACAAAAGGATTTGACAAAAATTGAAGAGTGTTTTTGTTATTTTAGAATTTGACAAGAAAAATACTATTATAGCATTTAAAATATCGATATAAGTGAAAATATGGATATGCGAATTTATAAAAATATAGATAGATTTATCATTTTCGATGATATATTGATGTCAATATTGTTATTGGTATTGGTTGACTTTGATGGGAACTATAGAAAATTCCAACGAGGTGAGGATCAACTTATTTCTAATTAGTCGAAATTAGAGAAAACTTTCTCAAAAAATTTAAAAGTTCTACATTTGCAATGAGTCTTGGCAAAATCTTTGTAGTGAATCAGTAAATATAATCGATATTCATTGATTTTCCTCTATATCATTGATATAGAAAAAAAAAACTTGTATGGTGCTTAACATGCCACTAGACTTTGCTTAGTGATGCTACCGTCAACTCAAAACTTGCCATTTGTTAAACATTAATATGATTTCTATTTAAAAGTTTCAAAATATTTAAGTACAACAACTAAAAAGATTATTTAAAATTAAACGATAAAAATAAATAAAAACAGACCCCAGTTCATCTCCATCTGCACACCACTACCCACCCCCTCTCAATTCATGGGTTTCTGGGTAAAGACTTTAATTAAATTTACAGAGAACAGTGACATTCAAACCCCGATCCAAAAAAAAAACTCTCCCCTTTATTTCTTAACAATTTTCACTTTGTAAAAAAGAGTTTGATGATTAAAGGAAAACAAGAAAGGTTTGTTGAATCGAGAAATATGTATTTCTGGGCATGCATTGACATTGACTAAATTAAGGGGTTGGGTTGATGGGGACGGGAAGGAGGGGAGAGGGTGGAGGTGAGCTCGGGATAATAAATCTTACATTTTTTTTCGATTTTAGTTTATGCAGTAATTTTTTTTCAAGTTTTAGATTAAATTTAATAAGGAGAATCTTATATTAATTTGGCTTAATACATGGTAAGTTTGAGTTGCAGTGGAGTGCCATTCAGTAAGGTTTAGTGGCAAGTTTGCTTTCGTCATTTATTTTCATATCTATTATTGATTTTTCAGATATTTATTATTTGCGAAAAGAATAAAACTAGAAATCCAACCGATTGAGGCAGTCACCTGCGGCACTCCTTAATATACGCGCGTTAAGCCAAAAATTTCGAGAAGCGGAAGTGGTTGTAGCGCAACACTGTCGTGACACGGAGCCTTCTCCATTCTCTCTTACCCTCTGTGAGAGCAGCTGAAGAAGAAGAACGAAACTTCCTCTCCTCTCTTCGTCTTCTCACACTCTCAAAACCTCGTTTCCGCGCGCTCTCTCTCTCTCTCTCTCTCTCTACTTTCTCTCTCCTCCTCTGATATGTAAAAGAAACTCGCCGAATCCCAGAAAGTTCGACTTTGATTTCGTGGACTTCGCGGTTGCAGACCCCCATGGCGGCTCTGTCGAGGTTCTCTCTGTTTACTTTGTTTTCTCTTACCTGCATTGCTCTGCTCTCGACTCTCTGTTCTGCTGGAGACCCCTACGTCTTCTACGACTTCCGCGTCTCTTACATCACCGCCTCCCCTCTCGGCGT